TCTTTGTTTGAAACTATTTAGTACCTCTAAAACTGCACCATATGAAGATGGCAACCATGAAATCATAATGCCTGTTAAAATGGTTTGAAACACCCAGTAAATTAACAAAATAAAATAATTGTCCTTTTATTTTCCTGCCTCATCCCCTAAATTCCCTGGTTTTCCATGTCTTTCATCTTCTGCACCTCTCTCTTCACAGCTTGGCAGAATCAAGTGCGGATGTGTAAACATTTGCACCTGACAATGAAAGGAGGAGGAATTACTGTCCCTGGAGGTGTTTAAGGAAAGGCTGGACACGGCATTTAATGTCCTGGTCTAGTTCACCTGGTGGTGTTTGGTCACAGGCTGGATTTGATGATCTTTTCTAACCTAATGGATTCTGTGGTATCAGCTCGACAAAGGCCTTCCCAAACTTACTACAGCGTAAGAAACCAAGTTTTCTTGTAACTCTCAAATTTTTTCACTGAAAAGAGCTGTGAAGCACTAGAACAGGCTACTCAGGGCAGTGGTGGAGTCACCACCCTTGGAAATGTTCCACAAATGTGTGGATGTGGCACTTGGCCATGATTTTGCGGTGAACGTGGGTCTTAAAAGTCTTCTCCAACCCAATCGATTCTACGACTGTAAAAGACGTCACCTCTTGCCCCATCTCTGGCCGCGGTGCCTGTTGGGTCGTGTAGTCCGTGTTGAACTCTCCTGCGGCCATTTTCTGAGACTACAGACTACAAGTCCCAGCAGGCACCACGACCGGGGGGACGGAGAAGGAGGGCCGCACTCGGCGGGTTGCGGGCGATACTGGGAGGTGGCGCCGGGGCGGGCGGGCCGCCTGGGGCCGCGGGCAGTGCGGGAATTTCGGACCGGGAGGAAGGAGCGGCGCGCCGCCCGCTCGCACAGGAGGTACTTGGAGCCAGCGGCTGCCTCTGGGGTGCAGTCGTTTGATTTTTTTTGTTTTTTAGGAGGCGAGTTTTGGGGCACTGTTTCTCATCCGCTTCGCCGTGCCGGGCGTCTCCGGCCCTTCTGGCGGATTGCGGGCGGTTTTCCCCGCTTCCCTCGCGGAGGAGGCCGGTGGTACCGCCGGGGCCTGCCCGAGCCTTGTTCCTCCCTAAGAGCAGGGAAGGCGCCTTTCCTTCCCTCTCCCGGCCCAACCTGAGGCGCCGGAGGCATCTCCCTGGGCTGTCAGGGAGGGAGAGAACGGGGGCAGGTGGTCCAGAGCTCCCTCAGCTTCACCCTAGAGGTCTGGGAGCCTACCTTCCTCGCCCTCCCGGCCTGTGGGCTCTAAAGCTGCCTAAGTTGTTTTCGTCCCTGTGTTTTTCCCTTTGGCTAAGCTCTCTGCCATTTAGAGGTTCGTCACATTCAGGATTGTCTCGGTGTGGCATCACCTTGGTTTGGAGGCGTTCCTGAGTTTTGCTTTAAAGTAAAGTTTTGGTTTTTAAAATACAAGCCTACAAATCACAAAAATCTGTGATTTTTGGATCAGGAAAGGCTGAAAAAATTGGGCTAAGATGCTTTCTGTCATTGGTTGTTACTCTTCACTTCCTGTTTCTTGCTATTTGACTTCCTTAAGAGTTCAGCAGTTGCAGACAGTGTGAACACTCTTGTTCTCTTTGGTTTTCAATTTGTGCTTAAGCACTCTAAGAAGTATAGGCTTTTATTAATTTTTTTAAATTTTATTTAATTTAATTTATAGGCCCTATTTATGGCTAAGGAAAATACAAAAGTTGTTGTGAAGCTTCCTGTAACTATTTCTGTGTCAAAGGGCTTTCATTTGTAGGAATAAGCTGTCCACGAAATTCCTGGGGATAATCCCCAAGTGAAGTAGGATTCCTGATGAACTTCAAAACTGATGATTTTTATACAGTGTGCTAAATTATCAGAAAAGCTTTAAGTGTCTCCCTCACATGTATTAGGTATTTGCAGTTGGTACAGAGGTGAGGTGATTTGGGTTGATGTGATTTGGTACCTTACAATGCTCACAGTTTTTTATTGAAATAACTGAATGATTAAGATTTTCAGGAGAACCTTAAATAACATTAAAATAAACTTCAAAAAGGTAATATATTCTTGAGAAAGCAGTTTAAAATTAGTAACACACTAATTCCTCTTGTAATGGCTGTTTCCTACCCCTGAACTTTGAAATATTGAGTCATCTTGGTTTGTTTAGCAAAAAAGGAAAAAAGGCATTTCCTTAGTCCACTGTGGTGCTGTTGTGATTACATATTTCTCAGGAGTTGTGGTCCACCAATGGCATTTGTTCATTTTGTCTAAAAAAGGAATTTGTTTTTTATTTCTTGGGAGAGAACCTTAGTAAGTGCTGTTAGCTGTCCGGTATCTTAATCAGGAACTTAGATTGGAGAGGTTTTCACAGACAATGATCAACCAGTCCAATTTATGTCTGATTTATGCAAGAAAGTCTTTGTTCACCACCTACCTCACTTGTGACAAGTCACTGACAATCAGGTTTTTTTTGTGTGGTCCCTCCCATGAAACAACTCTACAGTTTTCAGAAGTCTTTAAGTGTCATGTTCTTTCTTCCCCATTCCTTCAGCAAAAATTTTGTTTTGTTTTCTCCTCTTCATTTTTTTTTTTTTCAGGCAGATGTGGATTTCTTGCTTTGACTAATGAACAGTTTTAATTATATATGGATTTCACGTCTTGCTGGAATTACCTGCTCAGCTAGGAGCACAGGTCGCCAGCATGCCTTCTCTGGGTTGACAATGAAAATATGTCCTACTAAGATAAACAACTGTAAAAATTACAATTTCCAGAGAATAAAAGAGGAAGATCAGGAAGCAACCAGTTCAGCTTGACACACAGCAGAAATTCCTGAAAAATAAATTTGTTTTGTATTCATTTCAGGGTTTTGTTGATAATGAATGGCAACAAGAATTGAGAAGTGGCTATTCATATTTATTCCAAGAGTTCAAGTATTGCTTAAGTAGCAACGATAGCTGACAACATTTGTAAAGATAACACCACTGATATGCAGACAATTTTGCATCAATAGTGCTATCTCAAGTGCAGTGTATTGTGTTTCTTCCAAGATGTTTTATTAGGTAGAAGCCTTTGTAGTACTAAGAGGCTTCTGGAGAGAGTTTAGACAAATAGACTTCTGTTATTCATACTTCTTGGTAGGAAAATCTTTGTTTTGAGCACATTGTAGTGACATAAAATGCTGCTGTTTACAATCATGCACCTTGAAAATTGTTCTTATCGGGCACCTTAGCTAAGTAGGGTGAGGTCTGACACTTGAATGATAGTACGGTACTTGACATCCATGGGACTGTTTCCAAGGACTTTAGCATGATTGCAGGAACTAATGAATTAAACTTCACAATACCCGTGGATAGAAAATATTTCCTTTTGTTGATGGGAAAAAGTATTGAGAGGAAAGTTTAAGCTTTTTTTTCTTTTTGGAGGGATGGTGGTGGTGAATTTTTGAAGGTGATTTTAGGGAGAAGTAAATAGTTTTATTCCAGTTGTGCAATGTACAGTAGACAGCTCTATGTCATATTTGTTGTTGCTTAAGTTTCCTGACAAGCCACTTGTATTTACTGTATTATGAGTTGAAAAGCACATAGAATGATAGAATTTGCACTAAATTTTGTCGTTTTAAAATTTTTTTATCGTGGTTTTTTTTTTCTAGTTCTGTATTTTCATGTAGAAAATTTCTGCTGTGTCCAGGTGTCTTTGGTTTCAATCAACAGAATATATTTGAATGGATTTATCCAAATAAATGTGCAAGCATGTGCAGCCATTGCTTAAATATTTCCTTGGGTAACAGCTTTTTTGTAAGAGAGTGAGTGCTCAGTATTGTGCATGCTGCCCATTGCAAGCGATCAGTGTTTGGCACCTATGGCCTACTGATAGTTTGACCAACTTGTAAGTAGGCACAGTGCCATGTTAACAGATGGGTATGAATACAGACAGCCAAGAAACCATGTATGTGTATCTAGTGTATTTGTTAAGGGCAGGGTTCCCAGCTGGGGACGTTCAAACTTATGTCCATTTCGAATTTTTGCTTTTATGGATAAAGGGAAGTTGTCATTAACAATTTTTTTAAAAAAATAAATACCTTCAGGCATACAATTATTGACCATGTTAAGCAAAATAAGCGGGGGTGTGGAAGAAGAGGGAAGCACCAGCTCTTCCTTTGATACTCTTGAGGAGCTATTTTAAGTGAATTTAATTCCTTTTTGAGCAAGGCTGCTATCAAGAGTCTCACTGTGAATGCCAAAGATGTGGAGTATATCGATAGGTTTGTTTCACAGGCTTGCTAGCCTTATTGTAAGAGAGGCTACAAATTTTTCTTTTATAGGCAGCAATCTATCCAGCACTCAAGCACCTAAGTGCGTCTGTCCAGGTCTTTCCCAAATTATTTGTAATAACTCAGAAATCAAGGGGGTGCAGTCCTTCAAGTCCTCTGCATGGCTCTTATATCGACAATAAGTTGTTTCTTAGCTTGAGGGCAAATATGCTCATTTTGGATACATTTTGGTATCCTTTAGGTGATGGTGTGTGTGATCTTGTCCCACATCTGAGTCACTGGGCAATGCTGCTGATTTTTGCACTTTCTTGCCTTATCTGAGTCAGCTTTAGGGCTCCAGACTTTGGGTTTATTCCATTAGCACTTCTAATAATTTCAGTCTGCCCTTTGTTTTAATCCATTTCCTGACTTGGATGTCCTGTGAAGCTGCTTAAAGGTCTGCAGTGATCTTTCTGGCCTGCTCTTTTAAGTGATATCAACATGTAGCCTTTTCTACCACTCTGTTCCTTCTGACACTTTGACACCATTGCTTTCTCATTGGTATGGTCTTATCTGAGCTGGCTGGAATTGTCTTTGGTGCTTGAAAGTCTCATTTTTCTCCTGCAGAAAATCTGGAGGAACGATCTTTCTCCAAGACAGTAAACTATGTATCACCTTGAAGATTAAAAAAAAAAAGAGAAAGGGATGTAGAGGGGAGTTTCTTGAAGACACTGTGGATAATGATGTGGATAAAGCTAGTCTTAAAATTTATGTGTAAGATGTGTCTTGATAATAGGGAAGAATGTTACTGTATAGAAGTGGAAATATGGAAAAGTAATGCAGAATTAAAACATCGTGTTTTATGATAATGAGGAAGCTTGTGTGGTGTAAGTATTAATAAATACCAGTATCTTCCTGTGATGTGTTTTACAAAAGTGTTTTGTTGAAGTTACTCATTTAGATATAAGTAATATGTTGAGCAAGTATTCAGATGTGGTTCCATGACACAAAGATACTTCTCAAGTTAACAAGGACCCTAAAGGAAAAAGAACTTTGGCCTGGAATGGTACACTTTCTTTTCTGTATTTATGTATGTATTGAGTGACTGTGGTGTTAGGAGACTGCTTGCTGCCAGAGTCTATTACTCTCTGATTAAGTTCTTTTAGATGTTCCATGTATAAAGGATGTAATATTTAATATCAAATTTATTTCTTTGAAGGTAGCTGATGCTATGTAAGGTTTCTGATTTAGGAAAGTGATATAAAATATGCTGAAAACAATACAAATGTAAGTTACACTTGGCAAAATACAGCAATTGCAATGCACAGATCAGTCATGGTACTGATGTGATTCTCATTACTGGTCTCTGTAGTATGTTCACTGTCATGATGCTGGTGTCCCCAGCCACTGAGAAGGAATATCTGGATTGCAACCAACCCAAGCCCATTGTTCTCTTCAAAGTTATTTTGCTAGTTATTTAGTTTTTGCATGCTTGTGTTTGACTCAGCCTCCTATTCACTACCTCCAAGCTGGCCTGGCTAATTTGGGGAGATGCTTACATCTCCATTTGATCCAGTTAGCAGTTCTGAGCTCCACTCAACTGTCATTTAGCTGTTTTCCTAAAACAAAGGCTGCCCACTGGCACCCTTTGTGTTGAGCTCCTGTGAGTTCCTTTGCATTATTGCCAGAGCTCCTTGGGCACATCACCATTCTCCATCTCCAGGAGTCTTTTATCCACTGTTGGGCTTTATTCTGTCACATTCCACTTCGAGGGGTCTGGTCAATCACAGCTATATGCTTGAGCATTCATGGACAGAACAACATTTTCAGGCAACTTAACAATTATTCTTGCCTTTAGTAAGTAGACAAGTGGCTTCTCTCTTTGGATGCTGGTTGGGTGACAGGCATCAATTGAGGCAGCTGCAGCTACCCAGTGAGAAAAGTTTTGTAGGAGGGGGAGTGCTTTTGGAACAGTTGTCAGAGTTATGCAATTTTCTCTTTGTGAAATTAAAAGAAAACCTAGAGGAACATTAGAAATGAAAGAGGAAAACTGATGCTAAACAACTGAGTTTGGCTTAGGGTTATTGTATTGAGTAGCTAGGAAAAAGTTATTTTGCTCTCCAGAAACTTCCCCAGTTGTCTATTAATATTGCTTCCTGCTTCCAGCAAAATAATAAAATCCCACCAGTGAGAATGGTATCTTTTAAAAAATAAATGTGACTTGTTTATGACATTTATCTTCATGAGGGAGAGGGAAAGATCAGTTTTTTTGTAAAACAGTTTATGAAGGCCTTTCATGTAAAGAGACCTAGTGCACTCCTTGCTGTGTCGTGGCTGCATATTCAGTAATTTCTTGTAGTGTAGCGAAGTCTGACTCTACTAAAACCTCAAAAGATTTACTTGGTCAAAAAGGAGGCCTTCTTCCAAGAGAGACTTGGAAGGTGGATGAGAAGCTGTACATGAGTCATCAAGCAGCTCAGAAAACCAGTTGTGTCCTGGGTTGCATCCAAAGCGGCGTGGGCAGCAGGGCAAGGGAGGAGATGGTGCCTGTCTGCTCTGCTCTGGTGAGATCCACTTGGAGCACTGCATCCAGCTCTGGGGCTCAGCACAGGAAGGATAGGGACCTGTTGGAGTGAGTCCGCAGGAGGAACACAAAGATGGTTAGTGGGATTGAACACCTCTGTTATGAGAAGCTGAGAGAGTTGGGATTATTCACCCAGAGAAGTCTCTATGAAGACGTTTTTGCAGTCTTTTAAGTACTTGCAAGGGGGCCTGTAAGAAAGATGGGGACAAACTTTGTAGCAGGGCTTGTTGTGATGGGTCAAGGGGTAATTGTTCTCAGCTGAAAAAGGGTAGGTTTAGAATATACGAAAGTTAGACATTTTTACAATGAGGCTGGTGAAACAGTAGAACAGTTGCCCAGGGAGGTGGTGGGTGCCCCATATATGGAAACTGTGTTCAGATTGGAGGAGGCTCTGAGGAACTTGGTCTTGATTGAACGTGCCCCTGCTCATTGCAGGACTAGATGACATTTAAAATATCCTTTGCAATTCACACCATTCTATGATTCTATTCTGCAGAAAGAGGCATATTCCAGTGGGCTGTTATGTTATTTCTGGGAATGTTGCTTATCTAAAACCTGTGGTTGTGAGAAGGCAAGAGTAATACTTTCACACTTGAGATCTCAAAGTAGGTAGTTATATACTAGTTTTTTTGATGTCCTACTCAATGCTGCCCTGTAAACAATAACCAGACTTGCATTTTTTTTGCAGGTACATAGTAGAAAAAATAATTGTTAGACTTTTTTTTTTTTACAGCTAAGAGAAATTCCTCATATTATGACTGAAAACTTGCAGTTTTTCAATATGCAAGTTTAACTCTAGGAAAACTGATGAGCTTTATTTCATAAATTTACTTTTTTCTGAGTTTAGACCTGTGATTGGTTGTGATTGAGTGAATGTGATAGATTCCAAGATTTTTTTAGCATCTATTATATGAGGTCTTGTAATAGGTTTCTCTTGTGAAGACTTTTGCTGTCAAATTTTTTTGTGATATCTGGAAAAATTAGTTGTTTCTCACTTTTAATTCATGCCAATGAAACTGCTCACTGCATTTCTTTTCAAGTATCTTTGTAGTAACAAATTATGACTTAAATGACCCATTCTTTTTTGTGTTTCTAACAATAAATTGGATCAACATGTAACATTATTATTATTTTTTACTTCCCTTTCTCTAGGAAAAATGCCAAATAAGAAAACAGCTGCAAAAAGAGCCCCTGCAAAAAGGAAACTTGCTGAAATGTTTGGTCTGGGGGAGGTTCTAGCAGATACATCAAGAAAAGAATGGAAATTAGGTGGCCCTGTAGGGCAGGGAGGCTTTGGACGCCTATATCTTGGTAAGTGTAGCTATCTTTGATAATTCTTTAAAATGGAGAGTAGATGTTTATCCCCATTCAAAACAAGGAAAAGTTGACTCTAAGTCAGAAATGTGGAATGTCTTATGGTGATCTTAGCTTAGGTCATGGTGTTGGAAAAAAATGACAGAAATAGACAAATGGTTGTTTTAAGCACTAGTTTTAGGAGTTTCCAGTGGTAGTTAATTCTTTTTAAAAAACAAAAACTTTATTACTTTATAGCCATGGGAAGGATAGTTTAGTATTTATTTCAATTCAACTTTTGGTCTGGCTGAAAGACTGGATTTTTGTATGAGTGTATTTATTATGATGAATTATAAACTGACGCTATCAATGCATGTTGTCTGGAGGCTACTGGTCAGCCAGTACTTGGACTGGTTTTGACTTTGGTATTGCTTTTGTTTTTTCATTGCCTTGTGAATTTTGGCATGCCATGTACTTTTTTTTTGAGGTAACCAATGCTTAAAACAAATCAAAGTGTATGACTTTACAGTTTAAAGCCTCAGTTCAAGTCTTGTTTTGCAATTCGGTTACAAGGAAAACTTCTTAAAGCAAAATAGTGTTCCGTACTTAGTATCTCTTTCACTTGGACAGATGAACAGATAAGAGAGGTCTTGAGACTTTTCTGCTTCATTGCCCCTAGTCTTTTTTCAAACAATTATGAAAAGATGAAAGTTAATATAATCATTATAATATAGTCTTCCTTATCTTGGGGAAAAGGTTGTGTAGGATTCATATTAAGTTGGAAAAAAGGAAAAAAGATCTGTCCTGCTTTTGAAATGAACAGACTGCAGCATAAGTAGGTTAAGGAGAAAAACAGAAAACCAGTGGGTGGCTTTTTGCCAAAGAAGCTTTCAACTTCTTACTCAGCTTCATTCAATGAGCTACTAAATTTACTGGAGTTCCAACTCACTCAAATTCCTCCTTTGTTCAAGCCAAAGCTTGTTCTCTCCTTCTCCATCATTTGCACAAAGCTGTGATCGTGACCCTGTACTTTGTACTTGCCTAACTTGATGTTCTTCATAACTATCTTCTGTCACAAATACCAACAACTTAGTAGCAACAGAAGGTCAATTTTGAATGCATGACATGGCAACATGGAATTTATTTTTCTTCTTTATGTCCACAAATGTGGATGTTTATAATAGTCCTAGAAAGCAAAAGAAACACTATTAAATAAGAAAACGTTACTGGATAAAAAAAAAAGAAAAACAAAGGCCTACATTTAGTAAACTGCCTGTACTCCTCAAACAGAAGGGAGAATGCAAGAATACAATATCTGTATACAGTAGCCTTCATGTATAGTCTCTTACAAAAGGCTAAGGTACAGGTCTCTGTTCTTGTCAGCACTTAGTTACTTTGTTGTATATTTGTCCATCCGACATAACAAGTAAGTGTATGTTGTGTGACATTTTCCTCTCCTACTACTAATAAAAGCTTCCTTTTTAACAGCTGACGTTAATTCTTCAAAGTCGGTTGGCAGTGATGCCCCTTATGTTGCAAAAGTGGTAAGAGAGCATTTGAATCTTTACTTCACAACTTGAAAATATTTGTTCTATAATAGAATGTGTAATTTAAAACATTTTCTTAAAATAGTGCAATTGCAAAATGCTGTTTAAAATAAAAGTGTGGGGATACAGAGTAACGCTGATGAGAATTGGGACCCCTGTGTATGAGGAACATCGTAATGGAACATCAGTTGAGTTGAAAAAGATCCATGAAATGGATCAGATTCTGTTTCATTTGCTTCCTATAAACAGCACAGGTACCCCCAAATTAATGAAATCTGTCTAGCTTTTGAAGAATTTCTGTGATACAGCAGTGAGTCTCTGAACTGTTGCTCACCACTGGATGTTGATAAACTGACAGATGGCTTGTGACTAGAAACAGCAAAACTTTAATTCCTGAGGTCTCCACAAAGTTCTTTAAATTTTTTTTCATAAACTACATATATGTTCTAATTTCTATTGAACTAAAATAACATTGACATAATTTTTAGCCTAATGATGAAAGAGAAGCAAAAACATTGTTGATAGCTCCTTTTTAGCCCATTGTTGCAAATCAGCAAATTCTTTTTATTAATTGAAATTTTCTAATGGTTTTAGTCTTAAAAAAAATAGTTATTTACTTGTAAATGGCTGCTTCTCTTCCTAAGGTATAAAGTATTTTCTCTTAAATTTTGCCTGAGTATTTTGTATAGATCTGGTAAGACCTTATAAAGTCTTTGTAAAAAAACAGGGAATATGGGAATAGTCATAGTAGATCCAGACCCTTCATTTTCTTGGTGGTGCTTCTGTTCCTGCAATAAAAGTAAATACCAGAAAACTGTACAAGAACTTCACAGTGTAAAAGATTAGTTTTTCAGCGCAGTTCAGAAATGTACTGTTGTAACTTTATTTATTAAACTATATGATGACACTGAAATACCTTGCTGCGGTAGCCAACCACTTTGTGTATATGTTAGTGCTTTTAACATTTTTTCCTGAAATTAGAGTAAAATACATTTTGGTTAGTATGTGCCTTTAATCTTGGTATTTGCATCAGCTGACTAAAGTGAAATTCTAGAATACTGGTTTTGATACTGTTCAGACACCCCAAGGTACAGTTTGTGATGACCCTCCCTCCGAAATGTCCCTTGCTGAAAAAAGCAGTGCTTGCTAAGCAAGTGTCAGACTGCCACACTTTGAACATCAACCTGCTGCTGCTGCCTTAGGTGTTTGTGGGCAGGAATTCCAGACAGACCAGGAACCCAAACTGCGGGTGTGTGGTGGCAACCTATGGAATTATGTTCAGCCTGTCCTCTTGAGGGTGGGGTGTCCATGGTGCATCGGTTTCAGAGACAGATAACAGCAGTGGCTTGCCTGGGAGAGGCAGTGGCTTCTAATTACTTGTTCCTGCTGAGTTTGGACTGATCAGGAAGCAGAGCACCATTTAACTTTCATGGAACAATCTGGTTTGACTTGCTGGGAAAACCATCAGATATGCCTTACTTTATGCTGTGTGTAATTGCTGTCACCCTCTTTTCCCGAGTTTGAAACACATCCATCTTCTCTCCACTTTGGGCTCTTAATTTAAGAGTTGCCCAAACTTTTGAATTGCTCCTATGCTAGATTTGCTTTGTTGCAGCATTTTGGAAATACCTCCATTGCTAATATCCCAGCTGACTACTCACTTTTAATTTGACTTTCATGATTTTATCTTTATGGCAATAAAGAGTAGCCCCAGTCTTTGTGCTAGCCTCACAAATGACCCATAACATATTATGCCTCTACAGTCTGGTATAACATAGCTACAGATAAGAGCCCATTTTCTGGTGCCTGGGTGGATTCTAGATTTTCCATCAGCTGAAGCAAAGTGGTTAACAGCCTTGAACAATTATTAGTGTTTAACAAAATATGCACTTCTATAGTAATGTTCTTCAAATTAAGCTATTAAAGCAGGATGGAAATTGGCTTAGTCTTTGACATATCCTCATAGTATTGATGTCTGAGCAGTATGAAATGAATCATAGCTTTTATTAAAAAAAGAAATGCTTTTTAACATGTGGACCTTTCAGATGTCATTGTTCAGGAGTGGATGCAGGTTTAATTACACTTCATTACATTGCTGACTGAAAAAGATCAGAATTCTTAAAACACTACTTGAACTTCGTTGGGTTTTGCCATGTACTCTATAATCTTTAATTATCTTATCTTTTAGAATAAGACTAATTTCAGTTTTATAGGTCATGTATTTAGAATGACCCTGGGCATAAAGCTGTAGAAATTTGTGTTTGCACTCATTCTGGACTATTATGACAAATATTGGATGCTGTGTAAGCTCTTTTAGCATCATATATGGATTTATTTATGTGTAGGTAGAATTAATGGTTTTGTGGGAAAACACCTTCACAGTCAACATAAAGATCTGGTTTATGGTTAAATCATTTATCCATCCTTCAAGTATGAAAAGATAGCAGATTTTTGTTTCTGAGCAGAGAAAGGTACATATTTTCAGCACTGAGACATAAATTTTTGTGGAATAATTTATTTATGGATAAATACTGTAAGAATTTTTAACACCTACCTCTTTTTTGTGAATTTTAGTAGGAAAACAACATTGTTCAAATCTATATAGATTAAATGAAAACTATATATGAGATTTCATATTCTAATAAGTTAGTGAATTAATAGAAAATGCTACACAACATCAAGTGACTAGGTCAAGTAATGTAAGTAATGCATGTTTGAGGTAACTGCAGTAGCAGAATCTATTTAACCTTTCTCATCTGCATATATAGTCTCTGTATTGCTAATTTGTTGTCCATTGTGGATGAATAAACTAACTGTGAGAGTAAATGTGCAGGTACCAAAGTTTGTGTGTGTTGATCATTTGGTCTGTCTTTGGTTTTTTTTTTTTTTCCTGGTTCCTACTCACGAGGAGAGGCCAGAAAGCTGTCTTGGCTCCATGGTTTATCAGGGCAGTGCTGCTGGAGAAAGTGAGGCGGAGACAGGCAGTAGCTTTGTAATGAAGTGTGCAGGCCTAGGAGTGGTGCCCAGGCTGGGGGTATCTGCTCCCAGCGTGTTCCGTGTTCCAGCCCAGCCCCCGAGCCTGCACATCAGAGCAAGCAAAGCCGGCGGTCAGGGGTGCTTTGAGCTCTGCTTTGTCCAGTGAGGTTGGACAGCAGTGAGTCTTTCTTAGATAGTGTTACACACTGGCCTGTGGCAATTTACTGGATCACTACATCTGCATTTAAAAGTTAAAATTCAACCCATTTAAGATTGATGTGTAGCTAATATTAAGTGATTGTATTATTCTTGAGTTTCTTTGCCAGTAATTGCATATGTTTTGTTAAGTGTAGGATATTCCAAAACAGGTATTTTCACTGAGATAGAATGAATTTGGATATATATGAGTAAGTAGACAAAAATATAGTACTTAAGCTCATCTCAAAATCAGTTACTCAAAAATTACAAGAATTGAGGTATTTTTTTTTTTTTCCCTTTACCAAATTCTGGAAGTGTAGAATCAAGATACTTGCCCATCTGCTGTTTTTGCAGTATTTCAAATCTTTGGCGTTTTCATAGGAATTTCTGTCTTGAGCTTTACATGTAATACATGGTTCCTATAGATTTGTCCATTGAAAATGGAACTGAAATGTATTAAATAAAAGGTAGTCTCTGAATTTGAAATAGGTGTAGTTCTTAAAATTTAGAGAAATTTTAAAATCCTCTGTTATTTTTATCTTGGTCAAGTAATGTATGAAGGGAACAAAATGCCTTATGTTCTATAAGAATTTAACTTTGTTAAGATTTTTTCATTGAATCATTTGAGGTGTTATTTTAAAATCACTAAAAACTTCTACAACTGATGCAATCCAGCTGTAATCTAGAGAATGAGATAATGTTGTTTAATGTTCTCTGCTAAACTTTTGCCAATAATTATTAATGTTTCTATATATTTCAGTTAATTTCTTATTCCTTTTTCTTTTGCTGTGGGACAGTATATTTTGATACCCTTAATGTCAAGCCATTTATAATAAAAATAGCTTTTAGAGCTAAATTTCTTTCATAATAAGATACTCTATTGAGTTTCTCAGCATCAGGTAGAGCCTTTGAGGGAGAATGTTTTTATAGAGTAAATGTTTCAGCTTTTAATAAGTATTATTAGGCATTAATGCAGCAGTTTTTAATGAATTTTAAATTGTCTTAAAGGAACCCAGCCAGAATGGACCTCTTTTTACTGAGTTAAAGTTCTACATGCGAGCTGCTAAGCCAGATGAAAGTAAGCAGTCTATTAAAATGTTTTTAATGAACTACAAGCATTTATGAAAATAAAGCCTGTAGTAGTAGTAAAGTAAGGTTGAACTTTGAGAATCTGTTCAGGTAATTTTCAAAATTATTTTTCAATTACTGAAATTGATTTCAGATATATAGTAAATTAGAGGGTTTTGGTAAGAAGTTCTTTGTAGTTCTGTTGGTAGTATTGTCTAAATTTAAACTTGAGTTGCATCTCTATCCCTACAATGGATGTGTGATTAACTTTCCTGTGTACTTTGCATACACATTTCCATGAAATAAGCAGCTCACAGTTATTCAGAAACTGTAAGTGGTGTGACTGTTCCCTTTTTATGTAAGTGTCTACTTATGCAAATTAATGAACTTAACTTTATTTGTATTTTCAGTTCAGAAGTGGACTAAGTCCCATAAACTGAAATATTTAGGTGTACCAAGATATTGGGGTTCTGGCTTGCATGAAAGAAATGGAAACAGGTGAATATATCTTTTGTTCACACATATTGGAATTTATTTCATCCACAACCATTACCTCTTTTAGGCTAAGTTACTTTATAAGGTGTATTTTCCACTTATCTTCATGTTGTTCACTTCTGCTACAAATTTTCATGTGCATGGCAAGGGTATGTTTAAGGGCTATATAAATAGATAGATTTTGTCAATGTTGTTTGTTACTGCTATTTGTGTTTGTTACAGTCTTCATAACTGAGATTTCATTTGTTGTGAGCATTGCTATGTAAAGCAATGGTGCTATTTCTGTATATGTGGTTTAGGAGCTTTTTATATTTTAATTAAAAGAAAGTAAATTTCTAATGTACAAGTTCTGGAATAATAGGACTAAAGTTTTTCTCGTTGTGTGCACTGAAAGAGTGTTTTCTCTCACAAATATTAAGGACTTAATGTTATCTCAAATCTGTTCTATTTTCCCTAGGGTTGGGGCTTTTTCTGGCTTAATCTGTGAGCTAGAATAATTGCTAGTCTCAAATTAAATTGGTTTTAAGTCTAGGGATAGTTTTTAGTATTGTTCTATGCCAGGAAAGGTTTTTGTGACTTGGTCTTTAATGTTAATGCCTGCTTATGTAATAGTCCTTGTTTCCTAGTGACCGTTCTCTACACAGATGTGCTGCAAAGGGGTTTTGGTAGTTCTCTGGCAGCTTACAGTAGGTCAGGCTTCTTTGTGTGGCTCACTGCATAGGACAGTCGGTGTGAATGCCTTAGTACATCAGAAATATCAGTGTTTCAGTAGGCCCCCAACTGTAAAACTAACCAAAAAACAACATTCATTTTGACAGCAAAAGTAAATACAGCATTTTTTTTTATTCTGCAAATAAAAGTGACTTAGCATTTGGTGCTTAGTGCATGAATTTCTTTAATATAGCCACTATGAGCTCTAGTTCTAGAACCAGGTTGGCTATAGCAATGAATATTAGAACACCTCTGGCAAGCGAGGGGTTTTTGTTGTTAACAATAGGTCAAAAATATTTGCAATAGATTTCAGTAAAGGAGCATTGTAAGTGAACATGTTTAATCACTTAGCCATTTATAAAAACTAAGAAATGTATTTTTGTAAGTACATGATGCTTGGTTTTGCCTATAGTGAGTTGAGTTACAATAGGGATGTTTTCCTCTGTGAGTTAATTTGTTGCATAACTAGATTAGAGAGAAGTTTTTCTGGTGGGTGAACATTTTGAGTAGCTGATGTAAAAAAGGTAAGAATTGATATACAGTGTTAAAAACCCTCTGTATTTCAAGTATTTCCCACAGTTTCTTTTGAGAGAGACAAATTCAGTCACTAGTTAGTACAGTTAACATGCAGATAAAATATTTCCCCTCTTTACAACTCAGTAACTTTGCTGGTTTTGTGGGTTTGTTTTTTTTTGTCCTTGAATTTAGCTATCGATTTTTGATAATGGACCGATTTGGCAGAGATCTTCAGAAGATGTATGAAGAGAATGCAAAGAAATTTTCCCATAAAACTGTACTACAATTAGGCCTGAGAATAGTAAGTTTTAAAAATACATTTTATTTTCTCGATCTGTCGTCCCTATGTAAATGTCTCAGTTCAGTCCCACTTTTGTGCCGACTCCAGGTCCTCTGGTGGGCAGTCCTGGGTACTGCATTCACATGACTTTTGTTTTGTTAGCTTGATATTCTGGAGTATGTCCATGAGCATGAATATGTGCATGGAGACATCAAGGCCGCAAACCTCCTTCTGAGTTACAAGAACTCTAATCAGGTATTTATAATGCATTTTACTCCTCATGTTTTAAACCTTCTATTTGACAACAGTGAAAGTGCTTTGAACCTGTGAAATCTAGCAGAAGCTGATTTTTAAGAATGTATGTGGTAACATTATTTCCGCTTGACATTTATATCTAGTTAATATTCTGTGATTTTTAATGCATTTTGCTGGACAGTTATCAATTGACTATTTGGCCTAAATAGTATTCTAGAGAAATTCTCGAGATTAAAAAAAAAATTGACTCATAAATAGGTATTTGCAGGTGGAAGGCTAAAATTATATAGCACGCTGGTAAATTATGATTGCCTGCCTGCATTGTTACCTCTTTGCTTTGTTCAAGAAATCCATCAGATAAGTGTTCTGTTACTTGAAAAAAATGGTCTTTACAGTGTTGATTGTTCCACTTGATTTATGTCTTTCATTTTTCTGCATTTTTAACTCTCTACTATTCAAACAATGCATATTAGAGTTTCAAATTATGTATTTGTTCTTGCCCAAATGTTTTAGCTTGTGAAAGAAGTAAAATAATAAGTAATTTCAGTTCTCTTAAAGTAACTGTGTTACTTTGTTAATAAGAAGTAATAGTATGTATTACTATTGTTCAAATGGGTCAACTGACTTAAAACAGGGTAACACAGTGAGTGTATTTATAACTCTATGGACATTACTTCTTGTTTTGCTTGTTACTTGGGTTTTTGTGGTTTTTTTTAAGACCTAATTTTTCTGGTAATAACTATTTAACTATTTAACAGTTACTTAACTATAACTGTTCTTGCCTTCTGTAGCAGCAAGAAATGACTTCTGGATCAGACTGCTTTGTGGAAAACAATAAAACCTACCTGACATATTGTTTTCAAATCATATGTGTTAAGATTAATAAAGTAATGAGAATAATTCAGAGTTGTTTTGCCATTCTTACCATTCTTAATACTTTTAAAGAAGTTATGAGAATGGTTGGGAGTTGCATATATTATTTGTGTATTTTTTGTATTTATAGTTCTTTAACCTTAGACTGCTTTGTGGAAATTATTAGGTGTACTTGGTGGATTATGGACTTGCCTACCGTTACTGTCCTGAAGGAGTTCACAAAGTATATAAAGAAGATCCTAAAAGGTGCCATGATGGAACTATTGAATATACCAGTATTGATGCACACAAGGGTGTGGGTAAGGATATAAAACTCAGCAGTAGGCATTTGCATATCCTTTTTTATTTAAAAGACTTTTTATTTAAAAGACTTTACAAAACTCAGTGCAGCAAATTAACAAACCAGGTTTCTGATTCTAAAAATGTTTTTCCTTTTTTTTTCTATGTGCTATGCTTTATGTGCTTTATGTGCTATTTTTCTTTTTTTTTCTATTTACTAACTTTTCGTACTTGTATTTTTAATGTAACTTTCTTAAGAGCTCCTTAATTTATAAAGATCAGAGGTCCAGTGTATTGCTTTTTATTAACCAAGTAGAAAAGTAATAGTGCTTGTGAGATCTCAGTAGAAAAATAGGTACTGGTTTTAGGAGAAAAATAGTTGCTGTTATCAATGTGAAAATATTTTTTATTTTAACTTAAAAAACTTCATTTAATTAATTAATTATGCCTATAGTCACTGAACATCAGAAAGCAGTAAGTGAGAAAAGGTTAAATATGTAAAGGACAGGTTTATGTCAGATTAATCATTGAGGAATTATAGTGAATGCCAGCTTCATTTTTTTAATTCTTAAATTTTGCTTTATTAGCATAGGAGTGTTTTCTGAAAAAATAACAGTTGTTGAAAATGATTATTTACTTGAGGATACTTAAAGTGTAACATAATCAAAGACAACTTGATTTGTTGATTTATACTTCTAGTGTAGTTTGTGGTCACTGTTCATGTGAATTGTTTTGGTGGGGTTTTTTTGTGAAGGCTTAGGGATCTGATATCATACTGTCCTTTGTTCAGTTTTCAGGCCACATAAAATAATTCAGCATTGTAGAATATTTTTTGAGGGAGGTGGGGTTTCAGCACTTCTACCTTTTTATAGACAAAGGGAAGTAAAAACTATTTTGAACAGAAAGTCAATCACTTCACCAACTTGTTCTATTTTTTCCACAACCGAAGTACTTAAAAAGCTTCCCAAATTGGGATAACTGCAGCATGTCATGTCTTTGAATAGGGGAGATTGATAAAGGACTTGAAAATGAAGTGATCCTTCCAGATGTGGGAACAGTATTTTTTCCTTCCTACCTTTCATGCTAAAATAAAGACATAAGTAACAGATACAGTAGCGTTACATTGTTAGCATTGTCTTAACATATTTATAAATTTTTACTGTTAAACTGTGTGTGCTTTCTAAGCTGATGTTATGGTCAGTTTTTTTATGTGTGCATATATATTTAGCACCATCGAGACGTGGTGATCTGGAGATCCTGGGTTACTGTATGATTCATTGGCTTAGTGGCCATCTACCATGGGAAGATAATTTGAAAGATCCAAATTTTGTCAGAGACTCAAAAATCAGGTGAGAAACCACTTGTTTTCATTCTCTTATGAAAATGAAAATGTCTTTCAGTAGAAATGCTCTGTACTTTCAGTATGTTCCCTTTTGGTGAGTAGCTATCTTTTTGTGTAGCCCCCATTTTCCTTTTGTGTCTCATGTATCCTTGACTTGTAATTAAACTTCAGTTGTACTGTTCTGCTGTTTTCTTTTGTGTATGTGAGATTTTATTTTTCCACTGTGGTATTGGCACTCTAGAATTGCCATGGTGAAGCCAAAAGCACTCTTAGCAGGATGCAGGTAATCATCAGTCATGCTTTACAGGAAGAGAAGTGTGGAGTGCGAGTCCCTTTTACACCATGCTCTGATACATGTGGCAGAAATGAAGGCTAAAGGGGAATCTCAAATGTCTTTGAGCGTCATTCCAGCTAGAACACTACTGTTAGGGGATTTTAAAATTATATTTCATTTTGTCCCTCAGCCTCAATGTCAACATGTTATCATCTTCCCCTCAGCCCAGATCAACCTTCTCTTGTCATGTATTTAATATGAAGAGAGCTGTCCCAGCACAGCAGTTTCTGTCTCATTAACAAGTATTTGTTATTTGGCTTCCTTAGAATTGGTATGTGAGGGTTGAGAATGGACCAGTTCTTTTTCTTCAGTCTTCTACTTGCTTTTAAGAATCAAAGACTCTTTCAGATGGCCCATCTGACATTCATCAGATTCTCAAATGTGCTGCACACCTACAAATGGCTATACTGAGTCATACCAGAGGTTTATGCAGTAGTTTTCCTTGCATCTGACAGTGGCCCAAACTAGCTACTTAAATAGTTTATCAGAACAGGACAGAATTTTGAAAATTCAAAAGAAACAGTAGTTTTGACTAATTTTATTTTTCAGATGTAGAGATAATATTTCCATTTTGATGGACAAATGCTTTCCTGGGAAAAATAAACCAGGTAAGGGGAGCTATTTTAAAATACTTGTTTACTGAACTTTTTATATATTTTAATTTTTCCTTTCAATCAGGAACAATAAAGTGGCATGAATTAGATTGTTGCCTAAGAGAAGTCTAGACTGTTTGTTTTGGCTGCAGTTATATACACCACAGACACTGTGTTGCTTCTGGTTAAGCACAGTATTAATTTCAAACATGCGATGTGTAAATTGATTTTTTAATTTAATTATTATTAAGTTAATTAAAATTATTTTAATTTAATTCAGATAACAGAATTTTAGATATGGAAATTTAAGAAGTAATGCAAACTTAAAGTATAGGTTGTTCCTGTTTGGCATATGTGATTTGGTGAATACATTTTTTTTTTTTAAACCGACTTTAATAGAAATGGACTTTCTTGGGATGTTAATATTTAGTTATTTCCAGCTATTCCTGGTGGTCAGAAGAGTTTTCTCATTGCAGTGTGACTTGTTTTTTCAGTGGTCTGATGTTTCATGTATTTTTTAGTGTACGTTTCAGTCTTGAACTAATGTAGTTCTGAGATAACATTGAATTTCCTTTTCCACATTTTTAAATATAAACGTAAGAAATACCATGTAAGTAAGCATTCATTGGTGAAGATTGGCCTATTAGGTTTTTTACAACTGACTGTTTTCTTCATTACAATAAGCATGTAAAAAACAGTGATGCTGTCACCACTGAGTAATGAACCTTGGTATAATTTTTTTCTAAAATGTGTAGTAGTAAAGACATAATTATTATGAGTTTATAAATAACCATTTCAAAAATAGCGTAAGTAGTGCATGCATAATTTCTGTCTCTTTTGTAGTAAAAGTGAATGATTAAAACATTTTCAAATAGAAATTAATTGGAGGTGCCATTTCTTTAGGTGAATTGGCCAAATATATGGAAAAGGTGAAGCTACTCAGCTATGAAGAGAAACCTGTTTATCAGCATTTCCGAGAAATACTTTTGCAAGGTCTCAAGGGCATTGGACAAAAGGATGATGGCGTGCTTGACTTTGGCTTGGCAGAGAATGGAGACTTTCCAAGAAATCCTGTGCAAAAGGTTTTACTCTAAAAATTCATGTAATTTTTATTGCATTTTGTTGAGCTAAGTAAGAGTTAGTGGTATTGGAATTAGGTGTCATAACTTAATCTAGCAAATAATTAACTAGTGAAATGTTTAAGTTCTAGTTACACACATTATTTCTCTAATTCAACTTAACTAATTGTTAATAAAACTTAATGTAGAATGATGCTTATAGAGGTACTTTCATAGTAGATAGTACCTTGGATAATAAAATTTGTATACCTGGATATAATGACGTTTGAACAGATGAACATTTGGTTAATTTACTTTCTTTAAATTGGTAAAACTCCAGATGGATCAAAGTACATGTAAGATTAGTCTAGTTTTTGTTTCATATTAGTTTCCTTTCCATGACTAATTCAAAACTTAGTTTTAAGTATACATCTTTATGCCAGGTATTTGATTCTGGAATTCACATACTGATTTCACTGTGATCTGGTATGTTATTTTTGAGTGTTAACTGTATTGGTAGGCTAGGGTTATTTTCCTCGTATTTAAGAAGGCTTAAACTCTGGACTTGAATTTGAATATGGCATTAAGGACTTTTTAAGCTTTGGGGAAAGTGTATGTTAAAACAGCTTATAACCATAAAAAAGTGGTCACATAATAGGACAGTAATTTTCATCTTCTACTTCAAACTGCATTTATTTCTTCTTTATTTACATTTGTTAATAGCAGGTGGGCAGTTTATTGGTTCCTTTAGCATGAACCGGGGAACTGAGAATTCTAATACAGGATAATAGTACAAGTACGTTGCCTGCTTACTGACATGATCAGCAGTGTGTTAAACATGGGGAAAAAGCAGGAAAAAAAAACCCTGTATGATTCTAGAGTCTTCTGAAGATAAACGTTCAGCTTTTCTTGGATCTTTTTGCCTAGTAAAAAGTATTTTGGCTACAATCATACAGCTGTGGCCTCTATACTAATGTTTTCTACTGAACTGAGTGTAATGGTCCCTCCAAAAGGAGATCTTGATAGCGTAAGTTCTGTTCCCCTGTGGTTTGATATGGCTTGCGACCTGTATTTTGGGGAAAAAATAATCTGTCTTTAATGGTTGGCTGGTTTCTTTGCTGAGTAAGTTGGCCTGCTGCAGAGCCAACATCTGTGACCTTTAATGTCCTTGTCCAGCAGGGATGTCTGGTGCACATTTTCAATGGAACAAAAACTTCAAAAATCTTGGCTTTTTAGCCTGTATCAGTCAAGACCATTACAAAAGGGTGGGATAATCTTTTCTGTAGGTTCTTACCTCCTGACATCAAATAGAAGTAAGCCTTTTCATTGGGTTTCTCTTTTTTTAATATACTTTGAGAACCATATGTATGGTCAGCTTACTCAGTTATCAGAAATATGAAGCACTTTAGATAAAACACACAGTGACACTGGGCCACTTGAGTAAGTGTTTTCAGAGTCTGCTTCATATTTCAGTGGACTTGATGCTACTTCATGCCAGCTACTGCTAGAATGTCCGGACAGAATAAGATTGATTGACATCATAACCTTGCTTTTGACCAAACACCAGGACAGATTACCCTTCTATGTTGGGTTTTGTGGGCCTTGTAGCAACTGCAGTATAGGCTAGGGTAGGAGATGACTTAGTGTTTTAAAGATAAGCTCCAAATTCCAAACTTCATTAAAAACTACTCTCCATAAAGATAATTTGCCATTGATCAGAAGCATTTTGCCTCTGAAGGCCAGGATCTTCTGTTGTGTGCTGCATTTTGTTTGGCATTCTTAATGCTTAATTTGAGAAAGAAAATGCAGTGTGGCATCCACCCTTGAAAAGATTGTGACCTCTAACACAAAACATGTATGACGTTTTGTCTCTACTGATCTTTTAATCACAGCAGGTCTTAACACTCCTGTTCTTCATTTCTTTTGGTGCAGTCTACCATAATATTTTCTTAAAACAGTGTTATTTGATATTCTGAAGTTACGCTGTTTCTTAGCTGGGACGTAATATTTCTACCTTCAATGTAAATACATTCTTAGAATGTAGGATTCTCCTGTGCTTTCAGCTAATTGAGCCATGGTGGGCATTATATGTTACATATAAGCATGGTTGTTCTGGAATCTCAGTCATTCTCCAGTGTTGGTATTTGGGTAAAAGTCACAGATGTCTGCTGTAAGCATTTTATTTTCTTTATCATGGCTCAAGTTTCCCCAGATGTATAAGTAAATGAAACATAGTCCGCAGCTCTGCTTGAGTTTTTTCCTTTTCCTGTATAGTTTGTGAGTGTGGTATTCTCTGGTAGTTCTAGACAAACAAGAAGCTAGCAGTACCAGGTATTGAAGGAAGTATTTCAAGCTCTTGACTAAATTATTTAGAGCGAGGACCACATTTTACTGTTGTTCAGTGCTGAAGAGTGGCTGGGAAATACTGGGAGTAAAGTAGCCTGGAAAAATACAGATCTTAGTGATTTGTGGTTCCTTCTAATGTTCAGGTTCAGATGTGCAAGTGTTGCTTTTGTCAGATGAATGCTGCCTGATTTCTACTGCCATGTAATTCACCTGCATCAAGATTAAGAAACCACTTTTTATTAAATAAGCTTGGGAACAAGATAAATGTATTTTGCCTTTGTGTAATATGTATTGAATATCTGTTTTTCTGATGAGCATTTAAAATGTTTCCTAGTACAATTGGGAGGAATGCATTATCTCTCATATAAAAGCAGTACAGTGCTGAAATAGTCCTCCTTAATTTTGGTCAGAATGAGCAAAAGTGTCTGTGTTTATTCCTGCCTAATGCATCACAAATCTGCTGACATGCTAACCTTGGAGTCTTGGCTGGCGGTAATCAGGCCTGTGCACCGGCAGGAAAGATGTACCTAATGCACTCCATCAGTGCAGTTTGCATATGGAAGTTCTCACAGGGGAGCTGCCCTGTGCCAGCTGAGGGTTACCTGCCCACTGCAGTTATTGTATGTAATTATCGAACCAATCTGTTCAGCCCAGCAGGGTTTAGATGGTAATCATGAAGCAACACTTTGGAAAGATGTAATGCACTCTCCCCTTCTCCCGTGAGCTGTGTGAAGTTGTAGCCACTTTTAAAGCTGTATTAGTAAAGCTCTAGTCTCACACAATTAAAAAATAAATAAAGAAGAAGGAAAGGTAAAACTCCTCCAGTGTTCAACGCTTTTCATGAATGCCTGATGCAGGTCTGTTCATCTTTTGTAAAAATTATGTCTTTAAAACAATAATTTTCCATAAGTACTTCAGGAATACTTTGCAATAGTAGGATTAATTGTAATACACAGTTAAGAGTTCTATCCACTTAAAGGTTTTAAGATAATGTACCTTGAAAAGATTTCAGATTTTCCAAATACCTCTTGTTGGAACAGAATCCATGGTTGCTATTTAAAAAAAAAAAGTACTGGTAGAGTGAGTATTAGCTGCTTTTAAGCTGTGCAAAGAAAGCCTTAAGAAGCAAAGATACAGAAAAACTTGAATTTAATGTGTAATTTTTTTAGAAAAACCCAATTAATATGAACTTTGGATAAAGTGTTTTTATGTGTTAGGTTTTTCAGATTGCTCCTCTTGTAACATTTATTCAGTGTAAGTTAAAAAACTCCCCAGGTTATGATCGCAACACCTCATGTTTTCCTACATCAAAATTTCACCTACTAAAGTGATCTGCAGATTGGAGAACTGTTGTTTTAAATCGTGTATGGATTAGTACCAGTATTCTTGTGTTAATATAGGAATAAATTTTCTCTATGACTGGAGACATTTTATAATACATAATATAAAATAAGGCAATACCTTGTGAGGATATTGTCTACTTTACATAGTCTTTCCTGCACTTGAGCTCAATTGCTATTTTTTGTTATTTATGTATTTATTTGTTTATTTTTCAGAAAAGAAGAAAGGCTGCAGCTAGTGAGAGCACTGAGGTGGAAATGGGAGACACAGGAAGTCCAAAGAAAAAGAAAGTTGCTATTTCTAGTAAGTCAAAAGGTTGTTCTAACAGTCACATGTACTGGTGTGGCAGGAGAGCTTGGCTGAAGTGCAGACCCCCCACATAGCCACTTGCTCCACTCCTCAGTGGGACAGAAGGAGAAAATAGGATGAGAAAACCTTAAAACAAAGATGAGGAAGTCTATTACTGTTTACTGTTTTGGGCAAACTAGACTCAATTTGAGGAAAATAAATGTAATATATTATAAATTTAAAATAAATTTGGATAGTGGCAAACATTAAAACAACACCTTTCTTTCTCCTTCCCCCAAGCTCAACCTAACTACTTCACCCTAAACTCTAGCACCCTTCTTGTTCAGTGCAGGGGTCCTGGAGGGGAAGTCTGCTGTGGTCTCTGCTGCTCCTTCATCCTTACATTTTCCCCCTGCTCCCGGGCTCTCTTCTGGGTTGCAGTGTTTCTGGGAAAAAAAAAAAAAATTGGCCCAGTTTTTTCAGGAAATACCCATTTTCTCCAGGTTGGGCTCTCACACGAGTTGCAGGTGATATCTCCTCCGTTCTGGGTCCTTCCTGAGCTACAGGGAATATGTGCTCTGGTGCAATGGAGTACCATTTCCACCTCTGATTTTGGTATTCTGTCTGCTGTTTCCCGCTCTTCTCCTGCACTGCTACTGCAATTCTACTTGTCCAGCAAATTGTTTTGTCCTTTCTTAAATCTTTCCACTGAGGTGCCACAAACAAATTTGGCTCAGCTTTGGCCTACAATGGGTTTCTTCTGAAGCTTTGGCCTACAGTGGGTTTGTACTGGAGCCAGCTGGAAAGGGCTATGTCAGCCACAGGAGAGCATCTGGCCTCTCCCCACAGAGCTAGCTCTGAAGCCGACCTCGGCTTACCAAAACCCAGCCACATGGCCATCAAATACCCAATAGAACCTTTAGCAGTTCAAGTGCTTTTGATCTTTTGCAATTTCTTCTTATATTAACTTTATTTAATAAAGTTAAAATATTTCAACTTTCTGTGTAAGAAAGGATTATGCTCCAATTAAGTACTGCCCAAGGCTGCTTGAATTGCTGGATGATAAAAATTCATGGCTGAACCCTGTTATTTTGCCATTATTCATTCTCTGATCATTCTTATTTTTGTCCTCCTGTCTTGTCCAGTTCACTGTAAAAACATGCTGACTCCTCAGGATTCCTCTTCACAGAGTATTAAAGCCAAGGGCTAACAGCAACAGCTTCCAAAAGCAAGCGTGTTTAAAGTTAAGGAAAGGATTAGCTATAAGATTAGAAAATGCTGAAGCTATTATTTCAACATAATTTGGCATAGTTTCAGTGCAGTATGGAAAAAGTTACGGACAGATAAAGTAGGATTATTGAAAATCCCACATGAGAAATCTTCAGTAGATCTGTATAGGGTAAGCTGATGGTGAGTGTCCAGTCAAACTGCTTTATGGATCTGAACTTGTAATGCCTTTATGTAAATGTGAACTGAATTCAAGTAATAGCAAAGATACTTTTCCTAAAGAATTTTCAGTTTATAATTTTAAGTCAAATACCAGATGTTGTCTGTAGTCAAATAGTCTAAAAATAATAAAGCACTAGGACTGAAGTCTACCCCCCGAAAAATCTCCTTGTTTAAAAATGGTTTGATGAAGGAGTATTGCAGGATCCAAAACTTTTAACCTTTTAAGGACAGTAATAATATTGGTGAGTTCTGGATTTACTCTGGTATACTTACTCAAACTTTATGGCACAAAGTACAAGGAATGAAGTTAATGTTATTCCAGGAGGTGACTCTGCTTTGATCATTTTCAGCTGTTCATATAGCATTTTAATCATTGAGACCAATGATTATTTCACATTTTTGAATGCCTATTTACTTATTGACTTCAATTTGTTATAAACTCTGTAGTCTGTCAGTGGCTGAAAAAGTGTTAATTGGATTATTCCTCCTTTCAAAGCAATAGAATTACTTTATATGACACTGACACAGTTTTAGTATTTTAGATATAATTTAAGACTTTTTAACAAAAAATACAGTTGACTATTTTCTGGTTGTGATTTGATGCACATATGCAGAATATACTTTCTTTTCTTATGTTAGACTACTTTTTCCTGGTATTGTAGATTGAAATTCTTTTAGAAAGAGATGGAAAAGAACTTGAAGAATTGCAATCCAGGTGGTAACATCAGCTTTCTGTAAACAATGTTTTTTTCAGACTAAGTAAAGGTATTTGGGAGGCTGTATAGATTTCCAAGATAAACTTAGATGAGAAAAACTTCCTCTTGCTAGTTCAGCAGAGTTACAGATGAAATGGCTCTAATGTCACCTTTTTTACACTACTCAATTTAATGAATACTAAGTAGAGGGAGTATATAAAATGCTTTCAGGTGAAATGTGATACATGTACTTACTCATTTGGTTCTCTCCGAATTTGGAGTTAAAAACTTTACCAACTATTACATGATTCATAAATCTGTGTTGAAGGAAAGGGTGACTGTTTCATAATCTTCTGATTCTGATGCTTTTATAGTTTGAAAAGGGCTGATTATTATAGAAATACTTAAAACTGTGTTTCCAAATCTGACTAGTTTTGTGTTATCATGGACTTGTTTCTCCATTATTTTTCCTGTGACTAAAAAAAAAAAAATAAAATCCTGAAGTTCAGTAAAATGGATATTTTCTTGATCCCTCTTAGTTATACAACTTGAACTTGAGTCATACAGGAATGCTTTAAAAGTTGTTAAAATTCTGTTTTATTGGTTTTGAAGAGGCATAAATACGGTGGAATGGTAGATGCTCTTTAGGTATTCAGACATCTCAGAAGTGTTTGAACAGAAAGCAATGGCAAGAAGAGCTGTGCAGCCTCTTGCTGTTCAGCTCATCAGCATTAACCACATCTGACTATGCAATTTGTCTTGTCCAGTCCAAAAGATTAGTTGTCTCCAAAAGATACTGATCAGCTGTGTGGCATTTTGAGTACTCTAAGGTACTCAGTGGCTACAGGAAGTCTGTGAGTATTGAAATCTGTTGGGGTTGGGGAGCCACAGACTTGGAGAAGGAAGAGGAAGACAGTATGGCACTGAGAAAGGACAGCAGTCATTGGAAATTCTTGCTTCTGCTGTCAGCTGCCTTTGGTTGTTCTCAGTGTAAAAGTGGCCATATCAGATGAGGTTGTTAAAGGCCTTCTCTTCCAATCCTGTCAGCCATCAGTGTTTCTGGAACAGTCAAGTGACTGTTTGGCAACAGAATTTCAGAAAGCCCTTGAGAAACAAGCTGTATTGGACTTTAAAAATAAGTTGCATGAAATTTAGTGAAATTCTTAAATTGCTTTTTGTTTATATTTGCATGTAGGCAGCTTTTTGTTTTTTTTTCCTGACATAATGTACCCATAGGCTTCCCTGAAAAGGGGAATTTTGCAAGGTATTCTTTACAAAGTAGTATAGATGATGTTGAATTATTATATTAGCCAATCTATCTCCACCAGGAAAAGTGCTGTCAGAAGAAATGATTTTTATTTAAATGAGAAGCTTTTCCCCCCTCTGTTGCAGCTCCATTTTCAGTGTTAGCTGCCTTCCATTACTGTAGAAAAATATAGATGCTTATAAATGATGATACTGTTAAAACAGAATAACAAACTTCGGCATACACTGTACATATCACCAACACTCATGCAGGGGTGTAGTGCATAATATGATAGGACTGATACGCTTATTTTTGATCAGTTTGGTGGAACAGGCAGATAGTACAGGCATCCTCAGTGAAAAATCTCATAAATGCTGGAAAAACAAGTATTTCATGACAATTTGTGAATAATCCTAGGTTCAAAGCTACAAGAGAAATATAACAACTACCCCAGCAGGTATTTTTAAATTTCGGGGTTGATGAAGATTGGATTAGAGCAATACAGAATTTTTTTAGAACAGCCTTTTTTATTTTCTGTTCTGCATTTTTTAAAGACAGTTTTGGCGTTTATTAATTAGGACATGTAGAGAAAAATACTAAAGTAGCTATGACAATGAAAGTACTATATTTTTAATATACTTTTAAAATAGTCACTACTACTATGGGCAGGACTTCTGCTGGTCTGCATTGCTGGACAGCATCTACTATATTAAGGCCTTAAATGGGGTCTTTGGTTACTGTTGCAATATAAATGAAAAACTATGAATAATAAACAGCTTCAATATGAAAACAATCATACTGATTGGTTAGAAGAACATTCAAAAATTGTGGTTTAAAATGATTTCTCAATTAATAGGTACTTAGCTTTATGTTTATTTACCTTGCATGGCTTTGCATAAATCAGTATCTGGGTTAGTCTTAAATCTTTTTTTTTCTTTATTCAAGTAAGATTTATTACTTAATGTCCATTTAGGTGCTTTTTTGCATTCAGAGAATTTTTGGCTTTGTCACAAAGCTTTAGGAGAAAGCAAATCATATCTTTTTTGAGCTTGTTTATGGTGCAACTTGCTACTTGTCTTTCTGCTCTGTACCAATGCCCACATTACAGGTAGATTTTTTTTTTCCCCTTAATCTTGTACTCTAAAAGGCTTATTTTCTGTGAGACTTGTACTGGACAGTAGGTCTGATTGTGTTATGCATCTCTTCTTTCTTGTGGAGGATTAGGTATTGCCTACTATCTGTTACAGACTCCAGGAGAAAGTAGATACAAATTCTAAAACTATCCATCTCTGTGGTTAGTGACTGAAAGATCTGTCCCTTTCTGTGCTATTCTTAGCCTTCCCTTCCCTTTCTCAGGAATGTTGCAAGTTAAATGTTCTAGTACAAGAGTTATGTGAGCTGGGTTTAGAGGTTAAAAGCATGTTCTGCAATGTTGTATCTAAAAATTACCATAAAGATCTGGGTTTTAAGCAGAGAAATACTGTTTACAATCGCCTGAAATATTGACAAACTGACTTCTATATTTTGCATTAAGTATATTCAAACACTGAATAAAAAGTGATCTGTCTTTTTATGCCTTCCCCGGGACTGAGGATCTTCAAATCCTGTTTAAATTCGAAAAGGTG